TGGGGGGGAGGTAGACGAGGGGCAGTGCGGCTGGGCTGTGAGTGTCCCACAGAGCTTCCCAGTGCTGGGGGGGAGGGAGCTCCGCACCTCAAGAGCCAGATCCAGGCCAGCCGGGGCCAGTCCCCAGGCCTTAGGTTCCCCACCCCTGAATTAAGCCATATCATTGTTATAGTAAAAATGGAATCTTACTGTATGAAATAAGGTACTTTTTGTTACACTTTTCATTTAAAGAGATTATAGTGGCCAACCAGATACCGCATGGCATGAACTTCTATCCTTACATTTCTACCATTAAAAATGATAACAGTAATATAACAATTTGTAAATAAAAGAGCAATGGAAGTTTATAATGATTTTATCAACAGAGGTGGAGGAAGGAGTTAAAGGGCCAATGAACTGGATTTAAGTGCAACATGTAGATTATATTAAATAAGAAAAAAGTTTGATTTCTTTGTTCTTTTAGAGAGCTGCATAACAACAGAATATTTACATGACATTTTACAAATTTCAGTCCTTAGTGATGCATTGTGCATTACAAACTGCACTGCAGTAGTTTAGGAAATAATCAGAAACTGAAACTGACTATAAACAAAAGTGATACTCTGTAGTCTATTTTCATTGTCAACATAAAGTAAAATGAAAAAGTGTATAGATTGTAAATAGGGAAAAATAAATTGTATTTGTAATATCGTCACTTTAATAATCCAGATGCTATTAACAGAGGCATAGATCTTTCTAAGGACTTTTCTATCCAAATACCTAAGTCATGACAAAGTGGGATGTGAATCTACTCCCACACTAGCTTGCTGCACACTAAGTGGACCCTGCTGCTGCTGTCTAATAGTCCCTTAGTGCACTTTAAACTACTGCTGTTTCATGTGCTGCAGGGTAGTACAGAATAGATTTACACCCCTGTTCACCGTGAACTAAATGTTCACCCAGAAAGTCCTAAGTGTGCTTTCTATGCTGACAGTGTCTATTTAATCACATAAACTATCTGATCACAGTGATCATGGCACAATTCAAAAATGATACAGTACGTGACCTCACTCCTGCTACCCAATCAGCACAGGCAGACACATATGCCCACATGAAGTTTCAGTGAAGTCAGTGGAGTGCTATTTAGGTTTATGGGTATGGCTATGTAAATCTGATTGCAGGATTGGGATCTGAGTTATCAAACAGCTTAGTATAAATTGTGACAGTTCTTCATCATATTCATTTACTTGTTGGCTATATCCACATCCCCTAACCATTATCCATTTTTGCCTTTAGACTGTCAGCCAGATTGTTGGCATTCTGTGTTTGTACAGCATGCAGCACGATGGGGTCCCAATCCTGGGCACTATCATAATATAGCTATTATTGCTGATACTAACTTTACGTCATGTTTGCATTGTGGCTGTGATTACTGCTGCCATGGTAAGTAAACTAACCTGTACAATACACCATTGGTTCTCAAATTGAACCCGCCCCCCCCCCAAACCCCAAG